GTTTCCGCATCAGATCTGAGTTGTCTGAGTTTTGGACCTTCACTCTAGTCACCCTTGGGTCCGAGCTAGAGGTAGCTATGGCTTTCCCTTTTTCATTGTAGGAGATTCTGTGAGCCATCTTCGTGACAAAAGATTGTAGTAGTCCAGGAGGAGAGATTCTTGTAGAGGGAGGAAGGACTCCAGGTGGTAAAAACGCTGGTAGATGCAGACTACTCCTGGAACTTGGAGCTAGTCTAAAGTGTTGAGAGAGGCTTACCGGATGCTGATGGACCCTCCGACATGAAGCCGGGAACTGAACCGCGGTGAGCCTAGGTCAGAAGGAGGTTTGAAATTTGAAAGCTTACTATTTTGGGAAAAGAAAAGTTGGTGAAACTTCAACAGAGGGGAACCAAAGCTAAAACCGGTGGTTAATACTCAACCTCGGTATTAGTGCCTGAGAGAGAACACATGTAAACTTCGTGGACCACCTCTTATAATTTTCTTTCTTCATCGTCTATTTTGTCAGATACAGTATAAACACTAGAGGAAGTTGTGGATCGTGGGATCTAACTATTCCCGCAGAGCTCTTGCAGGAGATACTATCCCGCCTCGGACTAAAAGACACCATTCATGCTTCCGTTGTATGCAAGGCATGGCTTGAAGCAGGTGTTGCTGTCAGGAAGTTACAGCCTCGTCCTTGGATTTTTTATCCTACTGCTGATTCACACTACATTCTTTCTGAACCATCACGGTCTCAAACATATAAATTCAAGTTTCCAGAGCTCAAGTACCATAGTGTATTCTCTTATTCTAGGGATGGTTGGTTGCTTATGCAAAAATCTGTATTGGAGGCTTTATTCTTATTTAATACGTTTACCCAGGAGCGCGTCTACTTACCCGAGGTATATTTCACAATCTTCATTTGGCAATCACGTAGCCTTCTCGGCCGCTCCTACATCAAGAAGTTGTTTGGTGTTCTCACTCAACCCTACAGCTTTCAACTGCGCATCAAGTAGTTGTTTAGACGGGTTTTCGACCCGTCTAAAGCAACCTGGAATAATCTTCCTGTGAAACCATATCCCGAAGACTTTGGTACGCCAATGTTGATGACAGAGCATGAAGGTGACATCTTTCTTATTTCTAAACGCAACAACAAGAACCCGTTGGTGTTGAAACTAAACCTTAAGGAAAAGGTATGGGAAGAGCAGAGAGACCTCGGTGGGTTGACTGTATTCGCAAGTTTTTATGGCTCTCTTACAAGAGCTGGTCTCCCCTCGGAGATGAGGAACAAAATATATGCATCTCATTTTGATGATTTTGGGAGACATGACATGTACTCACGTCCCCCTTCAACGCCTTATTTGCCTTGCCTCAGTGTTTGGGTTGATCCACCTCACAACGTTAATTTGTGACTTAATCCTTTTATGTTTTTAGCAATTATCGAAGAATCACACCAATCTCTAATGTAATAATTGTAATTATTACTCGTGATAGTCAAGTTAATTCCTATTTCGATTTAAAATAAATTGATATTTTGTTAGTAAGCGCATAAAGAAAATTATAAACAAAAACAGAAAATAAGAAGATCAATGGATGTTGCTACGCAGTAAACAATGGCAGGGAAAAAAACTGCTACAAACTGCCACAAGGAAAAAGGCGGTACAAGAAAAATACATGGAACGCCAATTCTGGGCAGATAAAAATCGCCGGAAAAGAAAGAGAGGCAAAATCGCAGCTGCGGAATAAGAGAAGCAGAGAGATTTTCTTAAGATCTTCTCTCTGCAACTGCAAGCAATTATGGCTGTACATTGAGAAAAAAAGGTTTCATGGATCAAGAAAACAAAAGGTTGAAGCAGAAGATTTGATGAGTTGGATTGAATCATTGTTGTGAAGCATCATCAATAGAGAGTTTTGTGTAATCAATTGCAGAGTCACCTGTTAATTGTAATAAAACAAAAACAAAAAAGGCATGGAAAAATTAAGCCAAGCATAATGGTTTCTGTAATAGTTACCATTTAAAAGCTAATAACAAGACTTACTTCGAGTAGATTCAGTCGATGAGCGTGGCGGGGAAATGCTTCCTTTGATATCTACATTCATATTTTCAAGAAACAATGAGAAAAGCTAGCTCAAAAATGTAGAAGAGAAATGGCCTAATTTCGGAAACAGAGAAGAAGAGAAAACAGTTGTTGCACCTAGAGAACGGCGAGAACCACGGACAGCATCAAAGTTTCTGTATGTATAACCCACAAAATTGATATTTTGAGGGGTTAAGCTCACCTACGGTCAAAGACAAAGGCCCGGTAGATCGATAAGTACGGAGATAGAGCCTCGGAATAAGTAAATGTTAATAAGACTTTTTATGAGAATTGTGGTNCCTTCCATGACGGTCCAGATCCTGTTCTTGTTGGTTTTGGACACTCCACCTAAGGAAAGTATCAGCAGATGAGACAAATTCATGTCAATAGTGAGTGATGCAACCACTAAAATGAGTATAGTATGAACTTTTTAATCCTTGAGTTTGCGGATATTTTACCTCGTCAAATTTCATAAAATTCTGAGTATCAAGTTCTCCATTGACCACTGGCTTAAAAGCTGCATCCATCTCATAGAGTTTTTCCCATTCCACATCTTTGAACCAAGGATGAGCCTAGATGTGTCTTGCTTTGTCAGAAAAAGGATGTAATAGACAAAGAAAGAGACAAGAGAAGAATAAATAGTGCCTATTTTACATACTTTGATTTGCTCGGCTCCGGCTCCATGAGAACCAAGCCTATGTTCAGAATCACAAAGCAAGCTACAAATGAGATTCCTTGCCTCAGGTGTCAACCTTGCATCCTCGGGGAATACCAAATGAGTTCTCCAGCTCACAATCTAAAACCAAACCGACCAAAATATCGAAATAATGCACTGAATGTCAATTTATGTCGGAGATAGAGAAAGAAAAGGTGTGAATATCCTGATAGTAACAGAGCAAAGCAAACAAGCTGGAAATGTTTCACTTCATCTATAACTATCGCAGCATCAATATTATCCTTCATTCATAAAAAAAAAAATTAAAAAGAACAAGTGAAAACTACTGTAATTAATTTAGTAGCAAAGAGACCTTTCTACATGTTGTTACGGGATCATCAGAGTAAAATGGGGGATAACCAACGAGCATCTCATACATAATGGCTCCCAAAGACCACCTGCAGTCAAATAAATGCATATGAATCGATGAAGGCACAATTCTATGGTGAATAATCTAAAGATGTTTTCGGTGACCCACCAGTCACACTCTACACCGTATCCCTTCTTCAACAACACTTCAGGTGCAATATAATCAGGGGTACCAACAGTAGAATATGCCTGTTTCAACGAAAGAGCAATGAAGAATCCAAAGGACGTACCAGTTTACTATCATACTTAAAACAGAGTTTTGTTCTATACCAGTTTTCTTCTGTTTATCTGCCAATGTTGCAACTGTTCCAATGGGCTCTTCCAACGCCTTCCACGGCGTCCTATCGAGCAATTCTCATCATCATCGATTGATTCATTTGTATTCTCATCATTCAGAGGTTCATTTACGTTCATAGCCGAAATATTTCTACAATCAAGAGGCTTACAAAGACCAAAATCTGACAACTTCATATGACCATACTTGTCCAACAAAAGATTGTCTGGTTTTATGTCCCTGCAAAAAGATCTACCTTCAATATATATCCAATTAAACGTTGCATTCATCTCAAAAAGTTAGACCAACCTGTGAACATAATTATGTTTATGTATCGACTCAATAGCCAAAACACTTTGTGCAATGTAAAACCGAGCGACGGTCTCAGTCAAAGTCTCTTCCCTCATAAGCAAAGTCATCACATCACCACCAGACAAATACTCCATGATAAGATACAAATATTCTGGATCTTGGAACGAATAATAAAGCTTCACAATACAGTCACTAGCAACTTCTGCTAGTAAGTTCCTCTCAGCTCTAACATGTTCAACCTATTTAGATCAATCAACACAAAAGTGTATCTTAGACTTAAATCCAAAATTCCTATCCATAAATGTAAATTAAATAGATTGAGATAACTCTAAGACTCACTTGCCCCCTACTAAGCATTTCAGACTTCTTCAGCTTCTTCATCGCATAAATGTTGCCTGTCTTTTTCTCGCGGCATAGTCGTACCTAACAAATATGCCAAATCCACAAATGGTAAAAAGTGACGTCTAATTGCAATAAGTGTTCAAAGTTGATACATAAACTCAATAAGACTAACCTCGCCAAAAGCTCCTCTACCGATAATACTCAAAAGATCGAAATCATCAACACAGAGCCTGTTCCTCATTAATCTAGTATACTCTGTTTCTTTCCTCTGCAAATCCTCGAGCAACTCGAGTTGTTCTTTCTCAGATACATCTAAAGATGCTATCTTTTGTTCTAGCACCCAACGCCTACAACTCAAAAGGAACAAAAAAACAACATTTGGAGAAAAAAGTTATACAGTTTTGGATCAAGAGCTCTCATTATCTTACAAAAACATTACAACTCCTAAACCAACATCATTCAGATAATACAAAAATTTAATGAAATTCTTCGAAAAACACCAACTTTATTCTTAGGAATATAAAATGATCATTGCAATGAAAATTCAAACCAAAATTACCTTTCTTTACGTTGTTGGATATGTTTCATGCGTCTATTGTAATGATTCTCGATATACTTTTTCGCTGCAGCAACTTTCTCCAATGTCGAATTTGAAACCAACCCTTCATCTTCGAAATTCTCCTCGGCCTCCGACGTCGGAGTTGACGTCATTTTCACCACCACCACATCCTCCTCATGATCCGTTGCATAAG